TCTACCCCAGCTACCTGCCCTTCTGTACCTGTCCAATGTGTGCTTTGTTCAGTCTTGTTGCCTGAATTCTCTTTCTTCTTTCATCATTCCCTATATGGAGGCTTGGTTAGGGACCGGATTCAGAGTTAAAGCTGCCCCAAGGCATAGTCTCACTCATTAGAATAAAAACAAACTTTTGTTTTTCCAGGGACTAATCTGGTGAGGAAAAAAAAAAAAAAAAGAAAACGGTAATAATAATTCTAAGAAAGGAAAGTCACAAGGTCATTAACAGAACCCATTTTGTTCAAACCTGTTTGGAAGCTGGAGGGCAAAAAGATGATGGCAATCATGTGTTAGAAAAGTGCAATGCGAGCGGGGAGTCATGTTAACCAGGAAACCTGTTTAGGCAGGTGAAGGCTGGCATGGTTGGGAGAAGAAGTGGCCAGGCTAGCAAGGAAAAATACCCAAGAATTAGAATCTCAGGTAACTAAAATGTGGTCTGGAGAGGGAATGGTATAGAAATATACAAGAGAAGCATAAAGGACAGTAATTATGCAGAATCTTGAAAGTAAAGGTCATTGGTAAAATTCAGTGAAAATCAAAATAATCTTAGCAAACACAAAAAATATCAGTTAGGACTATTATATTAATTTTACACATATTAACTTATTTAATCTGTATAAGCCTATCAAATAAATATTACTGTTATTATCCCCGTTTTATATAAAATGAAAGTGAACCAACAGAGATCTAATAACCTGCTCCAAGATCACATAGCTCCTAAGTGACAAAAGCAAGTATTTAAACCCAGGTGTCCTGGCTAGGCTTTAGGCCTTGGTGCTCTACTGTCTTTCTGCCAAGAAAAAGAGAAGGAAAAGGTTCATGATGCGTTCCCCATGTACATGGCGCTCATGATAGAAACATCCTATTCAAAATGCTTTCCTGTCTTTTATTTTCATTTGCTCTAGGAAATAACATCTAAAGCAGGTCAAGTGGGTATTCCGCTCCTGTTGTGTGAATGGGAACACTAAGGACTGGAGAAATCACATAACAATTTAGTGGAAGGCCACCTAAAGCTCTGCTCTCCTTGTCCTATAAAATGCCGTCCACCTTTGCCAAGTCTTCAACTGAAATCTGGAAACTACTCTTCATCCTAACCCCAGTTGCCTAATTTAAAAAAGTAAAAAACAAAAGACTGTCAGTGCTCATTTTGTTTTGAAACTGACAGATTTTAAATCACCCAGATTGTACCAGGCCATTCTCTCATTATTTGTTTTCCTTAGCTGACAACAAAAACAGGTTATATCCTCCATTCTCATATCCCATCATCAAGCTGTGTGTGAGGACCCTTAGAGTATGATCACCCACTCAAGAGTCTCCCTTCCACAATCACTCGGTAGAATTAGATTTACGGAGCGAGAAAGGCCCTGAAAGGAGGTTTTATTCAATTCTTAGGAGATTGAGATAGATATATCACTGTAAACTGACATCTACTTTTCTTATCCCAGCCTGGCCAACATGGTAAAACTTTGTCTCTATTAAAAATAGAAAAGTTAGCTGGGTGTGGTGGTGGGTGTCTGTAATCCCAGCTACTCAGGAGGCTGAGGCAGGAGAACTGCTTGAACCCAGGAGGCAGAGGTTGCAGTGAGCCGAGATCACACCACTGCACTCCAGCTTGGCGACAGAGAGACTCTGTCTCCAATAATAATAATAATAATAATAATATTTTTATTAAATATTTGGTATTAAGTAAAAGATCACCTACTTAAGTATAAATCATTCATACAGCATTCGTTTGTTTCTTTTATTGTTTTGATTTTTTGAGTCAGATTCTTGCTCTGTCACCCAGGCTGGAGTATAGTGGTGTGATCTCCATGCACTGCAACCTCTGCCTTCCGGGTTCAAGCGACCTCCTGCCTTAACCTCCCAAGTAGCTGGGATTACAGGTGCCTGCCATGACACACAGCTAATTTTTGTATGTTTAGTAGAGACAGCGTTTCATCATGCTGTCCAGGCTGATCTCAAACTGCTGGCCTGAAGTTATCAGCATCCCTTGGCCTCCCAAAGTGCTGGGATTACAGGCGTGAGCCATGGCACCCCGGCCGCATTTGTTTCTGTAGATTTGTTTCGTTATAACTATTCTATGCTCTTGCGTGTGTGCTTGTTTTTATTCTGACCTTAGGTTTTATTTTCCTGAGTGGCAAGACTTATTTGTCAATCACATCACTACTTTACCAAAGAGACAGAGAGACAGAGAGAGAGAGAAAGAGAGAGAAAGAAGGCACAAAGAAAAAGATAAGAAAGAAAGAAAGCTATACATTTGCTTTTTTAAAATTTGGTTTTAAATGACATTTTTAAAAATGTCTTTCTCAGTTATCCATTTCAATGGGAAGTGAAGTCAGGGTGGAGGAAGATGTCACTGATAACACATGAAAATTCTAATCTTCCAACTTGATTTCTCATCTTCGAGTCTGTTTTCTCCAAAGATGAGATGGCTTTCCTGTTCATTTCCTGTTCATTTGGCAACCTCTCAGTCTTACCCCAGCGGTTAGGGATAAATGACCCAGAACCAGGAGAGTTGATTATCAACATAGTGAAGGGGAGGGTTTCAAAGAGCAAGAAAGGGTTGTTAATCACATGGAGAGAGAAGAAAGGAGAGTAGCAGGGTGACTTTCACCCTGCAACAGTCACTCCAGAGTACTCTGGTGAAGGATCAAGAATATAACCAGTTTTCTGATGAAGAAAAGAATATATTTGATCACCAGTAATCTGCCTTTGACCATCCTCTACGCCAAGTTTTTCATCACTGTCTAGAAAAATACTTCAGAGGACACATATGTCCTGTTTGCATGTCTCCTTTTTGGGAGCAGTAGGAGAAAGAAACTTAAAGATGTAGAAAGAATTAATAGTATAATGGAAAGAAAGAAGGCAAAAGGAAGTAAATGTGGAGGCCAGAGAAATAGTAATAAGAATAAAGAAGAAAACCAGGAAAAAAGAGGAGGGAAAGGCCATAGAAAATAATAACCAGAGAGAGACAGAGGAGGAGACAGAGAGAAAGAGAGAGAGAAAAGCTGATAAATTCCTGAGAAAAGTTTCTCTCCTTAAGAATTCTAGGTCAAGAAGTCAAATATGGCACAGAGCATTGAAAGGAGGCAATGGATGCCCAGTGCAAGATTCTGAAGAAACAGGAATTCAGCCCGATGGGAGTCCGAGTTCATGTCGCGACGGCCTCTGCCCTGGTGCATTGCATCCTGGTGAGTTCAGTGGTGAAAAAGCAGAGAGACAATATTTTTCCCCAGATTAATCAACTCAGAAGAATCTGAGAGGAAATGAACTGCGGGGTGGGGAGACATATACAGAACCCAGGGAGTCGTAGGGAAATGAATACACTACAAAGTTTGCTTAGTATTACGAGATTGCATAGATGCATGTGTGACCTACGGCAACAACAATGAAAAGGGGGACAGAAATTAGAGTGAGCATGGAAACACGCAGGATTGCCGTGGCACTTTAAAAGTGTCACTGAAGTATATTTCTCTCTTTTAGCATCTTATCACCCATCCCTCAAAATTCCAAACAGATTATGAAAACTAGGTATGTAATTCCCCTAAATGGAATTTCCCATCCAGGAATTTCTAACCATCTTCTAGCAGTTTAGGTGTGTCTAGTCTAGAAATAAGAGAGGGAGGGCTCTTTTAAAATATTTTCGGCCTACAATGAATCAGAAGTCTCTGAGTAATCCATTAGTGGAGAAAAGGGTCACTGGACTGAGGGATTCTAAGCAATCGTCATGGGGAAATGTATAGAGCTATGCCATCTAGCAAGAAGGAGAGCAAATGAAGAAAACTGGATAGTTTCAGATTCCAGTATGGCCCCTGTACAAAGTGGGCTGAGGATTTTTTTTTTTTTTTTTTTTGCTAATAGACCAGCTAAAGTGGTATCTGAAAATCCGTTTTTTCTTATATTTTCTTTTTGCTTCCTCTTCACTTCCTTTGCCTTCTCTTTCCTTCATTTTTCCTCTCTTTTCTCTTTGCAACAAGCCTGAAAAGTGGCATTTTCTCTGCTGAGCACTTTAGGCTTCTCTTACTTTTAGTGAAGAAAGTGAAAGAAAGTACCATGGTTGGGTGGAAGAAACACACGCTTTGTCATCCTCAGTGGCCAGTTCTTACAAATGAAAACACAAGCAGGGGTTTCTCAAATGTTATCTGCAAAGCCTGGCTATTCATCCTTTTACAAATCCTTTTCAACTGATAGGTTTTGAGTATGTGTGTCTCCTTATCCCTTCACTGCCCACCATAAACTCCCAATAGTTACAAATCTCTGTTTCTTTTCTAAGGGACTTTGTGGTTGCTTTCCTGAAATATCAGAGCACTCAAGTTATTAGAAGACAGAAGCAGCTTCTAGAATTAAATTAATGGTGGTGGTGGTGGTGGTGGTGGTGTTGTTGTTGTTAAACGGAGTTTTGCTCTTGTTCCCCAGGCTAGAGTGCAATAGCACCATCTTGGCTCACTGCAACCTCCGCCTCCAGGGTCCAAGTGATTTTCTTGCCTCAGCCTCCCAAGTAGCTGAGATTACAGGCATGCACCACCATGCCTGGCTCATTTTGTATTTTTTTAGTACAGACAGGGTTTCACCATGTTGGTCAGGCTGATCTCAAACTCCTGACCTCAAGTGATCCACCCACCTCGGCCTTCTGAAGTGGCGGGATTACAGGTGTGAGCCACTGCACCCAGCCTTGAATGGGTTTTTGAAAGAGGAAGTCAATTAAAAAAATCAGGTAGAAGAAAGAGTGGACAATTTTGTTTTTTTGTTTTTGTTTTTTGTTTTCTGTAGAAGGAATAGAAGGGACTTGATAGCAATATCGAGGAATTGTTAGAGCAAACTTGTCCCCAGTGTTATTGATTCTTTCAACACATATCTATGATAGGGTTTGATTTGAGTTCTGTCTACATCAATAGGTGTGTACATTTGGTCACATTTCTTTCTTGCTTTTCTTTTTTCCCAAGACGGAGTCTTGCTCTCCCAGGCTGGAGTGCAGTGGCATGATCTTGGCTCACTGCAACCTCCACTTCCCAGGTTTAAGCAATTCTCCTGCCTCATCCTCCAGAGTAGCTGGGATTACAGGTGCACACCACCACACCTGGCTAATTTTTGTATTTTTAGTAGAGACGGGATTTCACCATGTTGGCCAGACTGGTCTTGAACTCCTGACCTTGTGATCCGCCCACTTTGGCCTCCCAAAGTGCTGGGATTATAGGCGTGAGCCACCATGCCTGGCCTGGTCACATTAGTTAAAACCCTGTGCCTTAGTCCCTTAACCTTTCAAGATAAGGTTAAATATACCCACCAAGATGGTTATTGTGATTAAATGCTATGAAATATTAAGAGTTCATGGCCGGGCATGGTGGCTCACGCCTGTAATCCCAGCAGCACTTTGGGAGGCAGAGGCGGGTGGATCACTTGAGGTCAGGCGTTCGAGACAAGCATGGCCAACATGGTGAAACCCCATCTCTACTAAAAATACAAAAATTAACCAGGCGTGGTGGCACGTGCCTGTAGTCCCAGCTACTCGGGAGGCTGAGGCAGGAGAATTGCTTGAACCCGGGAGGTGGAGGTTGCAGTGAGCCAAGATCATGCCACTGCACTCCAGCCTGGGTGACAGAGCAAGACTCAAAAAACAAACAAACAACAACAAACAAACAAACAAACAAAATAACAGAGTTGTTAGCAGTCTGACTGGTATCTAGTAGCTATTCAATAAAGAAGACCATCTGTCCCACTGGTCCCCTTGCTTTTCCCCTTCTTCCTTTGTATAGTCATTGTCACACTAAGAGGATAAAAATGAGCAGTGGTGTAGAATTCAACTGGGCAGGAGTTAGGAGGACAATAGCAATATCCCAAGGGACAGAGAGATCAGGAATTTTCTACTGCAGACAATTTAATGTAAATGGCTACCTCTCATTCACAAAGGGTGATGCTCACCCACCACCAAAACAACAGACAAGATATTTGTTCTTCACGGTTCCCTTACCTCAAGTACAAAAGCCAGCAAGTATGGGAGAGATGAAAATGGCAGTCCTAAATAGACTGCCCCTAAGACTGTGACTTTCTTACTGGTTGATCTAACACAGCACAACCATGAGAGATGATTGGTAGGCAGCTGAACACAGCAGACAAGACAATTTCCCTGTATAAGACAATTTCTCTTTCTACAGCTTTCTGGGACGAGATGCGAGGAAAACTGTGGTAATCCTGAACAGTAAGTATAGAGTTCAAGCTGGGAGGAAGGAGCAACAGACAAAAACATCACTACCCTAAAGACAGTCAAGATGTCATTAGACATCTATGACTTCCTTTTATTTTTACTTAAGTAATAGATCTCATAGATGAGTTATCACAAAATAAAGACATGTGTTTGTATCATCTTAAAGCGCTCAAAATAACACTGCTGACAGCATGTTTTTACCCCAAGCCTATCTTCCCATCAAAGCAGCACGATTAATCTCAACTTATACAGTCATAGAGACTTGCAAAAGACTTCCTTAGCCCTGCTTCTCAGTGACTCACCAGGACAGACTGGGTTTAGTATCTAGTCACTGGCGTACATATTTGGGTGATTTCCAAAGTAACATTATCACTTTAAATTTGAAAGTATTTTCTAGTTTTTAGGGCATGTTAACATTTATTGCAGACTTCATTTAGCTATCACTTTGATGTAGTTGTCAACTAATCCAAACTTGCCACACTTAGGTCTTATGTAGACACAGAGGACGTGAAGATAAATATGCAAGAGTCATTCCACTTAAAGAAACTACAAAATAAAAATTTTAAAAAGTAGGGGCACTTTGAATAAAAACTTGTTTAGGATGAAGAAAAATACATATTTAGCCATGGGAAGAGTTTCCCGATAGCCAGGTCTGTTAAACCCAGGGAAATGGTGATGGCCTTGATTACCTTCACATGCACATTGCATGTTGACTACTTGATAACTGCTTTTTGAGGTTTTACACCTCTGCCACCATAGGAAGAGTCCTTTCCTATAAACCAGAATCTAATTAGAACCAGAGGAATTTTCAACAAGTAAGAAATGTGGGAAAACTAAGAGGAGTCATTGTTCAGTGAAAAAACAAAACAAAAAAAAACTATATTTTCTATAAATGTGTGACCAGACAATAAAAATAGATTCACTAGATTTCAGTAGATTCATGTATCAGAAAGAATTATTAAATAACAAAATTTACTACTCTTCAAACATACACAGATACTTTGCCTCACCTCATTCTCCAGTTTCTGACCTTATCTTCTACTCCTTCTCCCATACAATCCGTATTTTTTTTTTCATTCTTACAGAGAAAATTTACAGTTGCCATAGTGAACACAGAACATTTATTTAGCTCTCATCATGGTAAAGTTGGCTTCTACTTTTTTCCCTCTTCCTGTTTGGTCTCAGTGGATATATATATTAGTTTTGATCCTGGATGTGAAAAATTAGGGTACTCTTTACGGTGGGTGTGATACTGTGAAATATATATTTGATTTTGTCCCCATCTCCTAGCATACAATTTCTAAAATCCCCAAAGTAAGTAGTATCATTTTGCATGCTAATGAGTTGACTGGTGGCTGGCAGCCCCTAGGTAGATTCAGGGTGGGGCTGGTCATTGGAAGGACCAAGGCAGAATGCTTAAAGCCACATCCCTCAACATCCAAGGAAAATAGAGGGGCTGAAGTTGATCATCAATGGCCAGTGATTTAATCAATCATGCCTACATAATGAAGCTTTCATAAAAATCCCAAAGGATGGATTTGAAGAGTTTCTGTACAGCTGAACAGGTGGTGGTTTCTGAAGGGTGGTGCACTCGGAAGACATGCAAGCTCCGTGTCCCTTCCCACATGCTTTGCTCTATGCATCTCTTCATCTGCATCCTCGGTAATATTCTTTGTGATAAACTGTAGATGTAAGTGAGTGTTTCCCTGAGTTCTGTGAGCTGCTCTAACAAATTAATGCAACCCCAAGAGGGAGTCAGGGAACCCCCAGTTTGTAACCAGTAGGTCAGAAGCACAGGCAAAACAACTTGTGATTGGCATCAGAATTCTGGGGAGCAGTCTAGGGGACTGAGCCCTCACCCTATGGGATCGGATCCTATCTCCAGGCAGGTAGTGTTGGAATTGAATTGAATTAGAGGACACTCAGCTGTTGTCTGTTGCTGGAAGATTGCTTGCTTGGTGTGTGGGGAAATCCCCACCCACACATCTGGTGTCAGAGGGCTGGGAGAGTATAGCAGGAAGAAACTCAGTTTTTTTTTCCCTACATTCTCAGTGGGAGTGTTGCAACAGCTTGCAAAAGATAAATTACAAATGTGATTGTATGACTTTCATACTCATAACTGAAATTTTCTTTATATTTACATTTTATTAACCTCAAATTTACACGAGTCCTAACTTCTACATCCATTTTCAAAGTTACTCTTTGTAAACTTGCATTCCAAGTTCTTTCTTGGTATTTTTTCTTTTTTTTCTTTTTGAGATGGAGTCACCACGGCTGGCTAATTTTTGTATTTTTAGTAGAGACGGGGTTTCACTGTGTTGGCCAGGCTGGTCTCCAACTCCTGACCTCGTGATCTGCCCGCCTCGGCCTCGCAAAGTGCTGGGATTACAAGCATGAGGTACCGAGCCTGGCCCTTTCTTGGTAATTTTTATCATAAATGTTTACAACAGGCACATACATGTTTTCTATGAACACTTCTAATAACCACTAGTTTGTTTTATAATGATTTACAAAATGACTTGGACAGTGCCATCTATAGTATAAAGCACTATTTAAAGCATATAATTTGGCAAAAGATTCAACTAGCTACATTGAATTTAAAAAACATAACCCATAGTGCTTTTATTATAACAAGGTATCACATCACATTGTAACTCATATTTCTGAGTCTGGAGTTATAACAGGGATTGACTATATTTTTAATATACAAAACTTTATTCTTTCTTTATAGTTGCCTGACCACAGACTGGGTACATCTCTGGTATATATGGTAAGTTTCACTTATAATACCCAGAAAGACACTGTATTTCTCAGGGTCATTAAAAATGACAGCCTGCCTACTTACTTAGCATCTCATGGAGTAAGATTTCATTACTTCATCACTAGCTATGTGACAATATGTCAGGATTTCCTTTTTCAATACCATCTCCTCCACAAACATCAAACCATTATTGTGTCCTTCCCTCAGAGTCTGTTCTAGAAATATCTCCACAAAGGAGATTACTTTAGTGAATTAAAAAGCAGAGCCTGACCGGGTGCAGTGGCTCACACCTGTAATCCCGACACTTCGGGAGGCCGAGGCAGGCAGACCACTTTGAGGCCAGGAGTTTGAGACCAGCCTGAGCAATATAAAGAAACCCCATCTCTATTAAAAATACAAAAAAAGCTGGGCGCGGTGGCTCATGCCTGTAATCCCAGCACTTTGGGAGGCCGAGGGAGTGGATCACCTGAGGTCAGGAGTTTGAGACCCGCCTGACCAACCTGGAGAAACCCCGTCTCTACTAAAAATACAAAATTAGCCAGGCGTGGTGGCACATGCCTGTAATCCCAGCTACTCAGGAGGCTGAGGCAGGAGAATCGCTTGAATCCAGGAGGAATACGTTGCGGTGAACTGAGATCGCACCATTGCACACCAGCCTGGGCAATGAGAGCAAAACTCCGTCTCAAAAAAAAGAAAAATTAGTCGAGTGTGGTGGCATGTGCCTATAGTACTGGCTACTCAGGAGGCTGAGATCATGCCACTTCACTCCAGCCTGGGCAGCAGAGCAAGACTCTGTCTCAGAAAAGAATAAGAAAGCAGCCCCCTCAAATTACCTTAAATGTCTTATTATTTGTTCTAATGGATTGACTTACTCCAGCTGACAAAATAAGGTTATCTATAAAGCAAAAGCCTTGAAATTAAAATTATAAATTAAAATGTTTATAATTATTCTATAAAATATTTAAACAAGAATCAAAACTCAGACATTAAAGACTGGTTACAGCAGAGCTGGGAGAAAAGCCAGATCCCAGTCTCACTTGCCCCACGGGCTTTTGCAGGTTGCTGGTGGGAATTGGTGCGCTGCTTCTGCTGTGCGGCCTGTCTTCCCTGTGCTTCCGCTGCTGCTGTCTGAGCCGCCAGCAAAATGGGGAAGATGGGGGCCCACCGCCCTATGAAGTGACTGTCATTGCTTTCGATCACGACAGCACTCTCCAGAGCACTATCACATGTGAGTACATTGACCTTTTAACCTGGGAGAAGGACCCCATTTAAATGAATAACGAAAAGAGTGCAAAGGCGTAGAACCACTGATCGAGTAATATTAAAGATTCCACGACTCACAATTCCCAGAAGCCTGATGCTGCAGTGACCTGGGCTGTCACTGAAGCTGTGTTCTCAAGGGTCTGTCTGGATGACGATAAAGAAGGAAGTGAAATATTAGAGGCTGTTGCAAGTATTGAATAGGAAGAATTAGCCAGTTTGTAACTAGTTACTTTGCTAAAAACTATTTTGAACTCCAGATGCCTTTTTCAAAATGTCTTGGATTTTGTGAAATCTACTTTTTCTATTTTCTATACTATTTTATATTTTTAAAGAAATTAATGGCATGTACTTTCAGCTCTTTATTCTTCAAGTCTTGATACACTAAATTTTAGCCTTCACATTTTCTCAGTGATTACAAGACACTTTCCCTTTCTTCTGCGGTTCCATTCTTTCCATTACATTTTTTTTTTTTTTTTTGAGACGGAGTCTCGTTCTGTTACCCAGACCAGAGTGCACTGGCGCAATCTCAGGCTCACTGCAACCTCCGCCTTCCGGATTCAAGCACTTCTCTCTCTTAGCCTCCAGAGTAGCTGAGATTACAGGCGCCCACCACTACGCCTGGCTAATTTTTGTATTTTTAGTAGACACGGGATTTCACCATCTTGGCCAGGCTGGTCTCAAAACTCCTGACCTTGTGAGCCACCCATCTCCGCCTCACAAAGTGCTGGGATTACAGGCGTGAGTCACCACGCCCGGCCAAAATTGATTGCTTTCTTTTTTTGAGATGGAGTCCCCCTCTGTTGCCCAGGCTGGAGTGCCGTGATGGGATTTCAGCTCACTGCAAACTCCGCCTCCCAGGTTCAAGAGATTCTCATGCCTCAGCCTCCTGAGTAGCTGGAATTACAAGCAGCCACCACCACACCAGGCTAATTTTTTTTAATTTTTATTTATTTATTTATTTATTTTTATTCTTGTTGTAAACAATTTACCATGTTGATTAGGCTGGTCTCAAACTCCTGACCTCATGATCCACCTGCCTCTGTCTCCCAAAATGCTGGGATTACAAGCATGAGCCACTGTGCCTGGACTATGTTCTTTCCTAAAATTGAAGAGCCAGTACCAGTCAGAACACCAGCTGGCAAAATGTGGATATTTATTTTGAAAAGAGAATGGCTGGGCGCAGTGGCTCCTGCCTGTAATTCCAGCACTTTGCGAGGCTGAGGCGGGTGGCTTACTTGAAGTCAGGAGTTCGAGACCAACCTGGCCAACATGATGAAACCTCATCTCTACTAAAAATACAAAAACTAGCCGGGCGTGGTGGCACGCACCAGCAATCCCAGCTACTCGGGAAGCTGAGGCGTGACATTCGCTTGAACCTGGGAGGCAAAGGTTGAAGTGAGCCAAGATCATGCCACTGCACTCCAGCCTGGGTGAGTGACAGAGCAAGACCCTGTCTCAAAACAACAGCAACAACAACAACAAAAATAGAATGATATGATGTGTTGCTGTTCACCTTTCCTACCTCCCCTTTCTCACTGTCGCCTTAGGAAAAAAAGATAACCAACGCTGGGCACCATGGCTCAGGCCAAGGTGGGCAGATCGCCTGAGCTTAGGCGTTTGAGACCACCCTGGGCAACATGGTGAAACTCCGTCCCTATTAAAATACAAAATTTAGCAGGGCGTGGTGGCATGGGCTTGTAGTCCCAGCTACTCAGGAGGCTGAGGCACAAGAATCATTTGAGCCCAGGAGGTGGAGGTTTCAGTGAGCCCAGATGGCGCCACTTCACTCCAGCTTGGGCTACAGAGTGAGACACCATCTAAGAAAGAAAGAGAAAAAAAAAAAGGAAAGGAAGAAGAAGAAAAAGAAAAATTAAAAAAATAGCTGAGCATGGTGGCTCATGCTTGTAATCCCAGAACTTTGGGAGACCGAGGCAGGTGAATCATTTGAGGCCAGGAGATCGAGACCAGACTGGTCAACATGGTGAAACCCCACCTCTAATAAAAATACAAAAATTAGCCAGGCATCTTGGCACATGCCTGTAATCCCAGCTACTCGGGAGACTGAGGAAGAAGAGAATCGTCTGAACCTGGGAGGCAGAGATTGCAGTGAGCTGAGATTGTGCCACTGCACTCCAACCTGGGTGACAGAGTGAGACCCTGTCTTAAAAAAAAAAAAAGAAAAGAGATGAGGTAAAAATAAATAATCCTAAGGAGTCTATAGTATCGGGGGCTGGGGGAAAGGGATCTAAGTCTGAAAGGGGAAAGGGCAGGGTTGAGATGCAGAAATATTCTTGGCCGGGCGCAGTGGCTCACTCCTATAATCCCAGCACTTTGGGAGGCCAAGGCGGGTGGATCACCTGAGGTCAGGAGTTCGAGACCAGCCTGGCCAACATAGTGAAACCCTCTCTCCACTAAAAATACAAAAATTAGCTGGGTATGGTGGTGCGTGCCTGTAATCCCAGCTACTCGGGAGGCTGAGGGAGGAGAATCGCTTGAACCCAGGAGGCGGAGGTTGCAATGAGCTGAGATCCGCCGTTGCACTCCAGCCTGGGCAACAAGAGCAAACTCCATCTCAAAAAAAAAAAAAAAGAGAGAGATGCAGAAACATTCTTTAGATTATTTGAGGATACCAGAGAAAACAGGTCCTTCTAGCAGAGCAGGAAGCCGGGTTGTAAACATGCTTCAAAGGATATTCATAAAATATGGGGCAAGGAGTGACAATGAGTTTGGACGCTTGTTAAAAATGAAGCGACAGTTAAGTGTGAAGTAAGTCTGTGCTGTCTGAGGGTGTCCCATTTCCCTTAGTTCCTTAGCCCTGTTCCTTCTTTCTTCACAGCTCTGCAGTCAGTGTTTGGCCCTGCAGCTCGGAGGATCCTGGCTGTGGCGCACTCCCACAGCTCCCTGGGCCAACTGCCCTCCTCTTTGGACACCCTCCCAGGGTATGAAGAAGCTCTTCATATGAGTCGCTTCACAGTAGCCAGGTGTGGTCAGAAAGCACCTGATCTACCCCCAGTGCCTGAAGAAAAGCAGCTGCCTCCGATAGAGAAGGAGTCAACTTGAATAGTTGACTCTTGGAACTGATGAGAGCTGCCATTTTATAAATTGGGGTGGAGGTATGTCCAGAGTCTGTGGGAAAATGGAACACATTCTTTTCTAACCCTCAGAAGTTTTAGGATGGCATCTAACACCATCATTCCAGGGAAAGATGGTTCTTACTCTTCATTCACAGGCCTTTATATCTTCCGATACAGAATGCTCTAATTGGGAACTCTTAATTTTTTTATCCAATGGTCAAAATCTGCAAGTAATCTCTAGCCACGCTGATTACCACTAAACCGGGAAAACATGAAGGTGTCTTGAATTCCTTCAACTATTGAGTGCGTATAAAATTCCTGTACCCACATGATACTGCCAGTTGCGTCTCTCTGTGTCAGCTAATCCATTGCGATAAAGTGGAAAAGAAAGACAACAGTGTTAGCACAGCCATCAACATTAATGCACTGAATGCATGCATCTTTCCTTCTGAGACAGCAATCAATTTTACACCAAATGACAATGATCATCTTAGACAGTACAACATACCCACCCGGATATCTAAAAGCTAGGGATGGGATTGCTGATATGGGCTAAAAGAACACAGTATAGTATTCAAGTGCCAAATATCAGTCTTTCTTTCCTCTGGGCCTGCTCCTCCGCAGTATGAAAAACCATACTCACAGAACCATACTGTGCAGTAACAGTTGGATTAATTCTTCAGTTCCTCTGCACTGTAAACACATACGTGTGCACACATGCATGTACACATGCTGTGTACACAGTGTACATACTGTGCAGTAACAGTTGGATTAATTCTTCAGTTCCTCTGCACTGCAGACACATACGTGTGCACACATGCATGTACACATGCACCCTGTTTTAACTCTAAAGGTTTAAATAGTGTTGCTTTGCTTCTTTCCTGTTTTGCCTGGACCACTTAAAGCCACAACACTCTAGTGACTCACGCTAGTCTCTAGGGGTGGCCCTCACTGCCACCTAGTGGAGCCATGGTAGAAAATACGCTCTCTCCTTTGAGCCTATCGGCATGGCTTTCCAGTTCTTGGAGCAAAAACTAAATGGTGAGCTAAGCCTGGATGGAATGAATGCTTCCCAAGAACCATGCCGCAGTGTAGTGCTAATCTATCCACATATCATACCACCTCCCAAAGTATTATCGGAAAATCGAGGAAGTGATGCATATTTGGGGAAAAACTACTCACCTTAGATAAGTCACTGAAATCCTTCCTTTTTCTTTTTTTCTTTTCTTTTTTTTTTGAGATGGAGTTTTGCTCTTGTAGCTCAGGCTGGGATGCAATGGCATGATCTCGGCTCACTGCAACCTCCTCCACCTCCCGGATTCAAGCGATTCTTCTGCCTCAGCTTCCCGAGTAGCTGGGATTATTGGTGCCCGCCACCATGCCCAGTTAATTTTTGTATTTTTAGTGGAGAGGGGGTTTCACCATGTTGGCCAGACTGGTCTAGAACTCCTGACATCAGGTGATCCACCCCCCTCGGCCTCCCGAAGTGCTGGAATTACAGGCCTGACCCACCGCTCCTGGCCTGAAATCTTTAAAGCAGTTTTCTCACCTAGAAAACAGGGAATAATAACACCTCAGAAGGTTGTTGTGAAGATCAAAGAAGCTAAATGTATGCGGCATAATTTGTAAAGTGTTATGCATATGTATGTTATTCTTCCTACTGTCATCTAACCTTCCCTTGTCTGCTATGATTTTTCCGAGAGCTATGTTCCCATTTTTGCCAGCCATGTTACTGTTGTCACACCTGAAGTGGCTTTATGTTTATCAATAAATACTTGTTGATTGAGGTAAACAACAACAGATATAAGTGATTCCTCTTAATATGTTCTGGGTAGAGGTAAGGAATATTTGAGAAATCTAACTGTTTATTAGCCAATTAATTAGCTCCAGTACTCAGAGAGGCAACACAGAGCCAGGGATTGGCTAATTAGTGCAGCTCCTTGTTAACTACATTCTTGGAATGCTCACTTAGCCCAGAGGGGAAAATGTTCTGAGTATAACCCGCTGTTGATCTGAAATTATCCTGAGTCATTTAACAAATTGGCTCTGGGAATTATTGAAATGCATGCATTGCTAATAGCACCTGAAGTGACTTTGTTTTACTGCTGCCAGATGAGTCATTCAGTCCTCAAAGACACATTCCAGAAGACATTCTAGGCTCTTCTATTCAGGCACCAGGACGCCACAGACTTGACAAAGGTAAAACGTTCATTGGCATTAGAAAATCTTGGGGAAATCTTGCCTATAAGGTCTTATTCTAAAGGAATCTCTCTGCCCCACAGCCACTTCCTAGCCCCTACCCCCTTATTTGAAATATAGAATCACTTCCAACCGTGACATGCTACTCTGTCCCCTGTCTCCATCCCATAGTATGCCTTTTCCTAATCTGCTTCACATGTGCTGCTCCTCAGTCACGTGGAGTCGCTCACTCCCGTAACCCTCCCATTTGGTCACGAGTTATTTGCACCCCTTTGGCCTCAATTATTTCTATACTGAATCTAATACATCTGTTAATCACCTCCATCACCATCATTATTGTTCTCAATTTTTTAAAATCCTTTTTAACTCTCTTCACATCTACTCGTCAAACACTGGCTCGGCTGGGCACAGCGGCTCACGCCTGTAATCCCAGCACTTTGGGAGGCCGGCGTGGGTGGATCACTTGAAGTCAGGAGTTCCAGACCAGCCTGGCCAACATGGTGTAACCCCGTCTGTACTAAAAACACAAAAATTAGCCAGGTGTGGTGGCGCGGGCCTGTAGTCCCAGCTACTCAGGAGGCTGAGGCAGGAGAATCCCTTGAACCTGGGAGGTGGAGGTTGCAATGAACCGAGATCATGCCACTGCACTCCAGCCTGGGCAATAAGAGCAAAACTCCGTCTCAAAAAACATAAAATAAATAAATAACTAAATAGTTGTGCTTGCATTACAATCATTTAACAGGTTTTGTGTGTGTTCAGCAAATATGATTTAAGAAATTATGTACCAGCTGGGGGCGCGGTGGCTCACGACTGTAATCCCAGCACTTTGGGAGGCCGAAGAGGGCAGATTACAATGTCAGGAATTCAAGACCAGCCTGACCAACATGGTGAAACCCTGTCTCTACTAAAAATACAAAAAGTAGCTGGGCGTGGTGGCACATGCCTGTAATCCCAGCGACTCAGGAGACTGAGGCAGAAGAATCGCTTGAACCCGGGAGGCAGAGGTTGCAGTGAGCTGAGATTGTGCCACTGCACTCCAGCCTGGGCAACAGAGCAAGACTTTGTCTCTTAAAAAAAAAAAAAAGAAAGAAAGAAATTATGTACCAAGAGAAGTGTAGAGCATACAGAACAAACTAACAGGGCCTCTGCCTTTCCATCTTCACAGAGTTTACATCTTCACAGAGTTACATTTTCAGGAATATTAAGAAAAAGCAAGATAAAATAATACCAGATTTATAAATACAAAGAGCTAAACAAAGACTGAGAGCGGACAACAAATAGGAGA